ATATACTGCATCAAGGTGCTCTTCATATGGAGAATGCATAAACTGGCTCACAACACTCACTGAAAAAGCTATATCAGGACGAGTGTGAGCCAAGTAAATTAGCTTGCCTACTAACTTTTGGTATCGAGCAGTATCAACTGGTGTTCCATCTTTTATATCTGCTAACTTGTGATTCGGATCCATAGGAGTGTCTGCAGGTCGACATCCACTCATCCCTGTTTCCTTTAAAAGATCCAAAACATACTTGCGTTGGGACACAACAATGCCCTTCTTGGACCGAGCTACCTCCATCCCTAAGAAATATCGTAGTGTTCCCAAATCTTTGATTTCAAAGCTAGAAGCAAGACTTTTCTTCAGCCGTTCCATCTCAATTAAGTCATCTCCTGTGAGGATGATATCATCCACGTACACAATGAGTACTGCTATCTTCCCGTCCTTGGAGTGTTTAACAAACATGGTGTGATCACTCTGAGCTTGGGTATAGCCTTGATTCTTTACCGACCTAGTAAATTTTTCAAACCAGGCCCTAGGAGATTGTTTGAGACCATATAACGATTTTCTTAGCTTGCAAACTCTAGACTGAAACTTCCCTTCAAATCCAGGGGGAGACTCCATGTACACCTCTTCCTCCAGATCACCATTTAAAAATGCATTCTTGACATCAAGTTGTTGGAGCGGCCAATCAAGGTTTACTGCTATTGAGAGAAGCACCCTAACAGTGTTTAATTTTGCCACTGGAGCAAAAGTTTCAAGATAATCGATCCCGTAGGTTTGAGTGAACCCTTTAGCCACCAATCGAGCTTTGTACCGTTCCAATGTCCCATCGGAATTATACTTGATGGTAAAGACCCATTTACATCCTACTGTCCTTTTCCCTTGTGGCAGGTTTGTTACTTCCCATGTTTGATTCTTCTCAAGAGCATACATCTCTTCTTCAATAGCCTTTCTCCACTCTGGAACTTGTAATGCTTCCTGTACATTCTTTGGAATTTCCACAGAAGAAAGTTGTGAAGTAAATGTCAAGAAGGTAGGGGATAACTTTTCATAAGAGACATAGTTAGTCATAGGGTGTTTGGTACAAGAACGCACTCCCTTTCGAAGTGCAATAGGAAGATCCAAATCAGCAATCTTTGAATCAGAGGAAACTTTATCTAATGACTCAAAAACATTAAATTCTGTCCTAGGTTCGGATTCCTTGTCGTGAAGAGAAGGGGGAGCTTTATCTTTTCCTCGATGATTTTTCCGGACATAGGTTTTCAAGGTTTTTTCAGTTACATTCCCATCTCTTTCACTAAGAGAATTCGACTCTGTTATTGGCACTAAAGACAAGAGATCCTCTTCTAATCCCTGATCAATTTTTTCACGTTTTTCAAAATCCTTTTGACGGGCAAATTGAAGAGTGTCATTTGTTTTTTCAGGATTATTATCTTGAAAAGATTCTTGTTGAGGAAATTGTGCTGCAGATTCTTCTAAAAAATCAGAAAAATCAATTCTCCTATCAACAAAATTTTGATCAGGAATTTGATTTTCAATACGAAAAACATCATCATCTTCTACAAGTTCTTCTACATGCCGAGTCCCCCCCTGAAGAGGATCTCCAAAGAAAGGTTTATCTTCAAAAAATGTTACATCCATGGTTACAAACATTTTTTTCGAAATGGGGTCAAAGCATTTATACCCCTTTTGCGTGGGTGCATATCCAACAAAAATGCATTTTCTTGCTCGAGGGTCTAACTTACTTCGACCTTGTTCATGATTGTGAACAAAGGATATGCACCCAAACACCTTTAATGAGACTTCATATGTTAATCGAGACATGGGATAAATGGTTTTGAAAAAATTCAGAGGAGTTTGGAAATTCAAGGTTCTTGAGGGCATTCTGTTTATGAGATATGTAGCAGTTAAAATTGCTTCGCCCCATAGATATTTAGGAACATTTCTTGAAAAAAGTAATGCCCTCGCCACTTCTAAAAGATGTTTATTTTTTCTTTCAGCTACCCCATTCTGTTGTGGGGTATCATTGCAGGAGCTTTGATGCACAATCCCTTTTTCAAGAAAAAAACTTCCCAAAATTTTATTGAAATATTCTTTTCCATTGTCACTCCGAACAATTTTGACTTTTTCTTGAAATTGTGTCAAAACCATGCTGTAGAATTTTTGAAACACACTTGCAACCTCTGATTTCTCTCTTAACAAATACACCCAACAAACTCTTGTGTGATCATCGATGAATGTAACAAACCATTTTTTTCCAGATGAAGTTGAAATTCTAGAGGGACCCCAAACATCAGTATGTAATAGAAAAAACGGTTTTGAGGGCTGATAAGGATGTATAGAAAATGTAGACCGATGATGTTTAGCCAATTCGCAGATTTCACATTGAAAAGAAGATGAATCTTTATTCTTAAACAAATCTGGAAATAAGTATTTCATGTAATAAAAACTAGGATGTCCTAGTCTAAAGTGCCATAACATAATCTCTTTATTACTAGTAATAGAGACAGACCCGTAACATGTGTTTTTGATTGGTGTTGTCATATCTGATCCATCTTCAAGGAAGTAAAGTCCCCCATTTTCTCTAGCACATCCAATCATCCTCCCCGTGGTCAGTTCCTGAAACTCACAAAAAGAGGGGAAAAAATTAATCCGACACATGAGATCCCTAGTTAATTTACTTATGGACAGCAAATTGCATGATAACTTTGGAACATGAAGAACTCTATGAAGTGTTAGAGTAGGAGAGATGACAACGGAACCTATGCCAGCTATGACGGATAATGATCCGTCAGCAACCTTGACCCTTTTATTGCCTGCACATGGACTGTAGGTAGAAAATAATTGTGACACACTAGTCATATGGTCAGTGGCCCCAGAATCAATAACCCATATAACCCGTGGACAAGATGCATTTGATGTTTTACATGAAAGAGCAATAGTAAAAGGTTTACCATTTTTAGCAAAAGAACAGAAAGGAGTGAAGCTTTTTGGCTCAGTGACTGAAAATTGTGGAGACTTAAAGAGTTTGTACAGTTGGCTTAATTGTTCCTTTGTGAAGGCTGGTGTCTCAAAGTCAGTTTGTTGCTTTTGAGAATCCTCATTCACAGTCTGCAACACCTTGCTATCACCTCCATTTTTCTTCTTGAAATTCGATGGTTTCCCATGTAATTTCCAGCATGTGTCCTTTGTGTGCCACGACTTTTTACAGTGTTCACACCAAGGCTTCCTTCTTTTATCCCCGTCCAAATCTGTCCCCTTAGAAACCAATGCTGAAGTCTCAACTTCATCCTCTGCCTTGGACTTTGGTGATGACTTCAGCATCACCTTACGCCTTGATTCTTCTCTTCTGACTTCAGAAAATACTTCACGAATGGAGGGGAGAGGCTTCCTGCCCAAAATACGACCTCGCACCTCATCGAGTTCTTGATTTAGTCCAGCCAAGAAGACATAGACTCTGTCGTTCTCCTCCCGTTTCTTGTATCGAACACTGTCTGCACGGCAGTCCCATTCATCCTCATAACAAAGATCCAATTCCTGCCATAAAGTTACCATCTGATTGTAATAGGTTGTAACATCTCTATCTTCTTGTCTTGATTTCCACAATTTCGTCTTGAGATTGAAAATTTGAGACGAATTCTCTATATCGGAATACATATCCCGGACAGCGTCCCACACATCCTTGGCTGTGGGCAGAAATAAGTGTGGCTTTCCTATCGCTGGTTCCATAGAGTTTATCAACCAAGCGATAACTAGAGAGTTCTCTGAATGCCATCTCTTCAAATTGGGATCTTCAGCAGCTGGTTGTTGAATTTCTCCAGTAAGGTGGCCGAGTTTACCTCTGCCATCGATAGCCAGCTTTACAGATTGAGCCCATTCCAGATAATTGGAACCATTTAATTTATGAACGGTTATTTGTAGGGAAGAAGAATTTGAAGCGGAGTAATCTGTAGTTTGGATAACTACTGAAGACGAGGATGAGTCTTCTCTTGTGTGAGCAGTCGATCCAGTCATGGCTGCTCGGTAGTTCATGGCAGGAATTGGTACAGAGCCGGAGCTCTGATACCATGTAAACTTTAACAGAAAAGGAAAAAATGAACAAAAAACTCTCCTTTTCTTTATTTTCCCACACACTAAATATGCTTACAAGGTAGGCATATATAGGACAACCCTATCATAGTTCTGCCACCACTTAAGGTAATAGAACCATGATTTTAGGGATTACATAATCAACTCATATCCTATCTATTCAAACTTGATTGATCATAAGCAATAAAATCCCATAATTATGGGAGGTAATTATGGAAGATAATATCTCCCATAATCATAGGAGATAATATCTTCGACACTATGTATATTGATGAATGAAGGGACATGTGCTAAAAGTTCAAGGAATCAAACAGTTCTTGTGAAAACTCAAAATTTTAGGACATCATCAAGAAGACAGCATGACTGATGTCATATAGGAATATCCCTCTTTCCTAAATTAGATTTCTTCCTTTTAAATGGTCCATCACAAAACAATATCTATTTCTCCTTAAATTACAAAATATATTTTCCTCTCCTTAAAACTAAGCTGATTAATACATTGAATCCACACTTTTTCCAGAATCCAAACTCTCTCAATAGTTGCATCCAGTCAGAACTAACAAACATGAAGTATAAGATAAGAAAAATCTCAGTTGTTGAGGAAGTAAATCGATTCTTTTGAATATCAATGAAAGAAACCACATAACTTAGATACATCTCACTTACTGTAATAGGAGACAAAGGAAACCCATAACTTGAAAATCTATCTGAAAACCAGTATATGGAATGTCTTCAATTCTATATGAATTACACTAGCCTAGATTTTCTTGCTAGATTTACTATGCCAGGTTAAGCAAAGAGCTCTATTACCAGCTCTATATTGAAATGTAAGAGGCAAAGAGTTCTAATCCATCTATTACCAGCTCTATATAAACCAAACCAAGTAATTTAGTACAACAAACTCAAGACATGCAATTATGACAAGAAAGAAGAGAAAGTATGTTGCAATTCCAAATAAGAGCCAAAGAAAAGCAACTCTCAAGAAATGTAGAGATTGCTTGTTCAGAAAAGCAAAACAGCTTTCAACCTTGTGCGATGTTGAAGTGGGTGTAATCGTCCAGGATCAAGAGAAAAAGGATGTTTTTGTCTGGCCATCACACCATGAAGTTGAAGAAAAGCTTATGAGATTCCTAAATGTACCGGATATTGATAGGACAGGAAATTTTCTACACATGAAAGCTTCCTTACAGGAACAGTGAGCAAGATTAGTTGATCACACAAGGAAAGCTCACGAGAAGAATGATAAGAAAGAAAGGGAATACCTCACGCATAAACTCATGAAAGGTAAGATTACTATCAATGAACTTGATATGATGCAAACAAATGGATTGATTCAATTGATGCTTGATAAGATGAACCAGTGCAACAGAAGGATCGCACAACTGGACATGTTAGAAGAACAGGAGAACCAGTCACTTTCAACAGCCAATCAACATCTTCCCTCTCTTGTTCAGATGAGAGGACAGAATAAAGCTGGTGGAGTTTGGCGAGTGGCGTGAATGCAATTTTCTCAGCTCCAGAATTGATTGAAAGCTACAAGAACGACCAAAGGTTCAGTGGCTATGATAGCAATGTAATCATCCAGATAAAAGCCAGATTTGTGACTTCAAAAATACCAAATGTTCTTTGACAGTCAAACAAATGCATATATACCAAATCCAAAATTGATTGAAGACTTGAAGTATGACAACTGGCTAAGAGAGGCGATGTTTGATAAACCAAGCAACACTTTCCCCAGTTGTGCAAGTGACATAGGGTTTCACCATACCAATGCATGTAGTAATGAAGGGAATAATATGGTTAATCATAACACTGCAGGAAGCAGCAGTGGAGGAAATCACATGGATATCACACCACCAAATGTTGCTGACCCTTCTTTTGGAACAAATGATGGATTCCCTGAGGTAGAATGGCCTTACATTTTCCACCCGTAAACTACAAAGCCCAAAATAAAACATGTATTCTACTTCTTCAAATACTAGTCAATCTGTAAGTATACATACTCTATGGGCAAAGTAATTTAACTATATCATGACCTCTGTGTTTTTGCTCTTATATGAAGATTATTGTTGTTTCACCTTGATCCCATGCAGAGGACATCACAACATCTTCTTAGATGGATTAAATGTGAAAAGGAATTTCCTATAAACAATCTACTATCACTATTAACACGCCCAATTTTGCACATCAGATGAAAAGGAATCGTGGGCTTAAAATATTTTTTTGCCCAGAGATGCCAAATTTCCTCAGAAATGCATATAGGTTGGAACCAACAATATTAATTTTTTTCAGGTCTCATAGATTTTCCACCCAACTCTCGATCAAAATTTTTGTTTTGCTTCATTAAATTTCCTTTGCCCCTCTACCCACAACCCAGAAATGCATAGAGAAAATTGAGCCCTAAAAAACATGACATTGTTATGAGCTACCAGTCTAAATTGCAAGAAAAAGAGTTCATTTTTCTAGGGGGCAAAAATACTAGTTACTCATTAAACAAAATTCTGGTGATTCCCTTTTAACATTCACTATTTCAGGGAGATAATTATCTAAACAGATCATATACAAGCACATCAAGACTAAGCATCAACCACTGTATGCTTGACGCATGCTCCAGCAAAATGGCTTGGTGAATCTATTTACAGCCTCAAAGAAAAGAGACTCTATATATCCAACTTCCATGTATATATAGGTTTGTAGACTATCTGCAATATTTGACTAACAGTATTTTTCAACTGTGATTGCTTTGTACATGAATGTTTCAACTAAATCCTCACATAGCAATAAGAATTGATGATTGGTCGGGAAAGCAGGATGCCTTCTTTGCTGATCACTTGACTGCTTCAAGTTTACCTCTTGCATGTACATGCTATCTCATTGACATAGAGTTAGTTCTCACTTCCCTTTCATGATCAGCTACTCTGCCTGCTTATATTTCCTTTCAAAAATCAATGTTGCTCAACCAGGTTGCCAAAGAGCGCATAAACCAAGTAATAACTTGTGCTGGAGAAAAAGATTTTCCTGATGTGTCTACAGACCATCTGCTGAATGAGACAGCACTACCAAGTAAGTTTATGCCCGTTCAGAAAATATGAAACAAGAAATTTCTTTCCCCCTTTCTGCTTTCAAGCAGTGGTACCGTGGATCTTGTCCATTAGGAAATGATGTATTAGAGTCAATTTCACTATGCTCCTTCTTTGAGCAGAGGTTTCAGCAAACTTGTGAAGGTTTTAAGTTTTGCAAATCCAATCCATGCGCTGAATTTGATCTTCGTATTCTTCTCATGCACCATTATCACTTGAAATGTTTTACTTAAAGCATTTCATTGCTTGGTGGAATCTTTCAATATTGCTTACCTAAAAATCTTAGTGGAATCTATAGTGCATTTTAGACTAATTGCTAACATGTAATTTCTGTGCAGCTGCACAACATAAAGTTCCACCATCTTGGTTTGAATTTTTTAACCGAGAGCTAGTACGCACAGTTTCTTTTGCTGAGCACGAGGCTTTTGACCATCCAGTGGCATGTAAGATTTTGTTCCTCTCTCTCTCTCTCTCCCCCCAACCCCTGGAAAAGAAAAGGTTAATAAATGAAGTTGAAGAGTCCTGAATTGCTTCTAGTATTTTAGTGGGCTAATTCTGCTGCTTGACAGTACACCTTTCTGCATTCTATCTGATTGTAAGATAGGTCTTTTGGCTGTTTCCTCGATGGATGAAGACCCTATCGACAAATTTGTGGATCTTTTTAATACCAACCAGTTGCCAGCTCTTATTAATGATGGTGCAATGGACCCAAAGATTCTTAAGCATTTTGTATTGGTGCATGATAACCAAGATGGCATGTTAGAGAGGTAATATTTACATCAATTCAAATATATTAAATTTTGAAGTTACTGTTAGATAGTAGCTTGGTACATGGATATGGTCTAATATCTCTACATCTTAAGATTAGGTCAATGATTAAGAGTCGGATCAAATTAGTACTGTGATGAAGTTTTGGCCATCAAACTAGTAAAGTACTGACACTCTAGTCAATTCTAACAATCAAGTCCAACCAAGCAGCATGGCACCTATCTTGACAAAATTGAAATTGGGAAAAAAAAGGATAGCAGCCTTCCTTCCTTCCTTTTTGTTCTGTTCTTTTTCATTTTTTTTTCTGCCTTTGGACAATCACCCTTTGTTGGTCAAAGATTCCATACCCCTACCTCCCCTAGGACAAAGATCCCACTTGCCTGTCTGTTGGTCTCAAAGTTTTAGTTACCTCTGCTGGCAGCCCCTTCCAGAAATCCTTGCAAGAGGAACACCTCCTGGCTCAACTCCCTAAATAGCTCATTCAGTCCCCCGCTTACCAAGTTCCCCTTACCTTGCTTCCCTCAAACTATTTGCAACCCCCATTCTTACCCTCCAAAAGAAAGCCTTGTCTGGATGGAAAATACCAGAGTAAATGGAGAAAACTACTAGGAGTTAGAGTTTTATATTTTTGAGAGTTTCTGTGAGCTGTTTGATTACTTTAAGTTGGCAGAGTATGTGTTCACTTGTGCATTTTGCCCAAAAAATTCTGCAAAGCAGTAATCCAGCACATCCCTTGTAGTATTGAAATAAAGATTGCTGAGGAATAAGGTCCCTTGGGTGCTTTACAAGAAAATTATAGAGTTTGTTTGGATAGGAGGTTATTTGAAATAATTACTCTGGTACTTTTTGTGATGTGATATATGTGGGATAAAAAGGTGGTTGGAAATCGTGTATATGATATAAGCAAAACAAAATTTGAAATTTTTTTTGAAATTCTTGATATCCAACCACACATAATTTTTATGATATTAATGTTGTCTCTCTTTGTTCCATTCAATCACCACTGTTGTCTTTCCTTAAAACATTGGTAATTAGCATCCTAGGAGTTGTGGTATTTACTGGATTTCTGTGCTTTTAGATGTATAAACTAGAGAAAATAATTGTGTTGCACAGTCTTTTGCTTTTCCGAGTTTCATCTAAGTGCGTATTCCACTCAACATTTTACCATTGGTGTTACCCTAACTAAAAAGTTTAATGGACATAGCCATTTTCTAATATTTTTGACGTATTACAGAGCAACCAAAGTTTTGACAGAAATGAGGACTACATTTGGGGCAAACAGTTCCTGCCTGTTGTGTGTAAACTCCTCTGAAGATGGTCTGATAAAGCATCAAGAAAACCCATGGGTATCTTATGTAAGCCATTTGTTAAGCCTATTCCATTTTCCCCTGTTATCTCTCTCCTGTTTGAGTGAAAGTGTGCTACTGCAAAAGATGTGGCTCAAAGGCTTGTTCTTGCCTCCTATGACAGAAAAATGATGGTTCAAAACTTCCCCAGCTTGGCTGCTTCCTCAGTTTAGATGATATGGATGAGGTGCCTCCTAATCTCTGTTATTTGCAAATTTGCATGCTCATATTGTTTGGTAATTGCAAGATAAAATCTCCATATTTATGAGCTTAATTCTGAACCTTCCTTGAACTTTACAGTTGAAAAAAACTATGCAAGATCTGTCATCTAAACACATCATTCCTTATATGGAGCAAAAGATTCGTGTTCTGAATCAGCAGGTATGCTTTGTGCTTCTGGTTTCAGCAAGTCATTTTTCAGAGCCGGTTATTGTGGTTTGAGCTAATTTTTCCTGTCTTGTTCAATACTTGTAAATTGTTTACTGTCTCCTAGGTTTCTGCTACAAGAAAGGGTTTCAGAAACCAAATTAGAAACCTATGGTGGAGAAAAGGGAAAGACGATGTTCCTGACCACCCCAATGGTCCAGCGTATGTTGTAGTTTTTCTTTTTATATGCACAAGCTGCATGTGTACGTTCTCACTACCAACCTAATTTAGTTTGTCTACGTGCTGGTGAAGGTATGCTTATAACTCCATGGAATTTCAAATAAGACTTTTGGGGGACTATGCATTCATGCTAAGAGATTATGAGCTTGCTTTGTCAAACTATAGACTACTTTCAACAGATTATAAACTTGACAAAGCATGGAAACACTATGCTGGCGTTCAGGTAGTTACCTTCTTTTTGACAGTCAATTTTGTTTATGTTGATTAGTCATTTGCTGGAGTTCCTCGAAAAGATTTTGGCGATGTTCTGAAACCTAATTGGAAACATAATTAATGTGCCTATGCTATATGCATAATTGTGCTTCTGATTGCGGACCTAATGTTTGAATGAAAATTGTTGGAGACACAGGACAATTACTACCATGTCTTAAACTTTCGGCTTTGCATGTCTGACAAGCATCGAATGCACCTTGTAGACTCATATAGGAGGGTCTTTAGTGATTAAGATAGAGATAGGTGACGAGAAATGGCCCTGTTTGTTGACTTTCATCTTTCGTTAGACCTGGTAAACTTGCATCAGAGAACTAAAATGCATTGTTAAATTGTATACTACATTATCTTTTATGCTTGGGCATAGAATTTCAAAGAAAAAGTCCTGAGTTCAAATGGGGTTTAATCCTTTATTATTTAGATTTTGGACCAGAGCTTCTTCTAGTAAAATTTTACAAATTATCCTTGATGCCACCTCTGTCACACCCTTTCCATCCAGAGATAAACTTCTTATTGTTATGTGTCACATAAATAGAAACTTACTAGTTAAGTTCAGCTCAGATGTTATATCATATGGTTAGTCAATGAGCTTATTGGGTTGTTCTAGTTCATTTACTTAGGTAAAAACTGTTTATTCAGAATGTCAGACAAGTAGCCAAATGAAGTCCACACTCTATTTAGCTATTGTTTTAGCTGGGAACCAGCTGGGACTGGGTTACTCTGAGAGGAAAAGTTATGTGCAATGGTATTGAGTTGCTAAGACCTTTTTGTATGACTAGATGTAAATGGTTTTGCACTGGCACAACATATTTCCTGTGCAGCTGTTTTATTGTTCATCTCATTTTTGCAGGAGATGATGGGGCTAACTTACTTCATGCTGGATCAGTCAAGAAAGGATGCTGAATATTGCATGGAAAATGCATTTAGCACATATTTAGTATGTGCCTCTTTTCTTGCTAAGTTGGATTCTTTTGTTATCTTAAGATGAGCAGTTTATAATTACATCCAATGAACTAATTGATTATTTCCCCTCTGCTATTGCAACCTTCATTATCCATAAATTTGGGGTTTTCTTCTGTTTATTCATTATTGGTGAATCTGTCATACTATTTGATGTCAATTAGTACACCTTCCAGGATATACGAGTCCATTTGTGGTTAAAATAAATGGTTGTTCTAATTGATGAAAAACAATGTAGAACTACTAGTCTGCAGGGCAAAAGCTCTGATCCAACTTTATGGAAGATCGATGGTGAGTCACTTTTTATTGCACTTTGTATAATTTGATTTTGATTTTTTTGCCCTAATAATGTATCTGTCTTTAGTTGAAATATTTTATGGTTTAATTTATTTTTTAGTGGTAGTAGGTATTAAATGAAATGTTTATCCAATAACTTTTTAAGTGATATCTATGTTTGGGGCATATATTTGGACGGACATTATGACTTAGAAGAGGGAAAACAGTTATTCTTGTGGATACATGGGCTGGATAAATAATGAACTGCAATTACACAGGATACTGTTGTTGGCTTTGGTATGGATTATTCTTAAACCTACATCATTGTATGTGCAGAAATTGGGGTCATCTGGTCAGCGAAATGCCACACGCTGTGGTCTTTGGTGGGTGGAAATGTTGAAAGCAAGAGATCAGCATAAAGATGCTGCCAGCATTTACTTCCGAATCTCTGGTGAGGTAATTGCTCTGGTTTTCAGTAAGAAAACTGATGGGGCCTGCATATTCTGATCTGAAAATGTTGCCTTTGTCAGGAGCCTCTACACTCTGCGGTAATGCTTGAGCAAGCATCTTATTGTTATATGTTCTCTACACCACCGCTGTTGCGAAAGTATGGATTCCATCTCATTCTAGCAGGTGATCTTTACAAGAAATGTGATCAGGTAACTTCTCTATTCTGATAATGCAGTTTACCTATGCAAATAAACTGCAATGATTTCAGTGGTTCTACTTTTCCTTTATCAGATAAAGCATGCAATTCGAACATACAGAAGTGCTCTTTCTGTTTTTAAAGGAACCACATGGAACCACATCAAGGATCAAGTGCACTTCCATATTGGAAAGTAAGCTTCAGAGAGCCCCTGAATCTAAGTTATTATGTAAATTAAAATGAGGTGTTAATTGTCATACTTAAACCCAGGTGGTATGCATTTCTTGGAATGTTCGATGTGGCGATGGAGCACATGCTTGAAATTTTGGCCTGTGGTCATCAGTCAAAGTCAACGCAAGAGTTATTCTTGAGGGATTTCTTTCAAATAGTTCAGGTCTCACTGCTGCTTCACAACTGTACAATGTTTCTAATCACCAAAAAAAAAAAATGGAAGAAGAAGAAAATTTTCCCTTCAGACTATGCTGCATATGTTAGATCGGTATTATCCTTAATAATCATTTGCACGGTTGGAGTTTTTTTTTTTTTTTTTTTGTGTCATATGCATTATCTGGGATGCTTTAGGTTTTCTCATGTAAGTGTTTTCCTAGTCTGCTGTGCAAGAGCAAATTAAAAGATAGTTGACGTAGATGGTGTGGACTCATTTAAACAAAACTCTTTGTAGAGTAATGAAATGGAGATTGAAGGTAAAGCTAAAGGAGGAGTTGGACCAGAAGTAGTGAAGGACTTGAAACCTGGAGGAAGGCAGTTAAATCAGCAAAGGACTTGAATTAGGATGGAAGAAAGTCAAATCAGCAATAAAAGTGCAGCCAAGAAAGCTAGGACCGAGAACAGTGGGAGCCTTGAGTTCAAGTGGAATATGACATTTAAAAAGCAGTAATTTTATGCCCGGACAATAAAAAGACAGTTATGTACAGTCAGTAATATATTTTTGAGATCAGTCTTCTTTGGGTTGAAAGTGGACCCTACATAGAGATTTGTCTAAATTGGGTTGGCAAACTCAAAATTTTGTGTTTGGTTCATATGAAAGAGAAGGGTTGTGTTTGAATCACCAGTCTCCATTAGAATGCTTCATAAAGCCGATTCTATCTGCTGTACAAGAGAGATAATGAAAGATGCAATAACAATAGATGAAACGATTATATGTTGCTAAAATCTCAAAATATGATGTAAGATCAAAGTAGGGGCAACTTTCTCCTACTATTGGCAGCGGAATTATAGGACTCCAAGAGCTATTTGATGCTCACTTTTGATTGTAGATACTATTAGAATTACTGGAAAAAGATAACTATCTTCAAGAACTGATCATGTTGTTGGATATTTGGATATTTTGTGAAATAAAGAAAGCAAGCGTAAAGCTTTGATTAGGCTCTATACATAGTGGAGAGGGGAAGGTATTACTGCAGGTCCTTTAAGACAGAGATATTGGTGCACAGTTCAAGAAAAATGTGGTCCAACATAGAGGAGAATGGATAAAAGATGGCTTCTATTTAGGCCAACTCTAAATGGTATAAACTATAAAGTCATGCATTCCTGGAGATGAGGGAATATGTTTTTTTTTTTCAATTTATTTGTCAGTTCGAGATATAAAGTGACTTCTTCTACTCAATGTTTTGTAGTGATTGTTACACCTAGTTTTTTAACAGTGCGAACTGAGACAGAAATAAGGTGTTCCATCAGGCAGGTTTCTTATGCCTCAATAAACTCCTTTTTTTTTTTTGCTTTAACTTCCTTGACTCCCTTTTTTGTGGTTGGGGGGGTTGGGTGATGTGAGAGGAATTAACTGGAAGCATGGAATTGGATATTTCATTGTATTTGGCGGATTACATATTGATGGTATAGTGTATGTTGTACTATTTTCAGATGGTTAATTGCTTAGTGTCCCTCTGTTTATTCAATGTGCAAAAGTTGTTGCCCCATTGATTTCCATCTTTTCCTTGGTTTTTCTTGGTCAATGTAGAATACAGGGAAAACATTTGACGTTTTGAAACTTCAGTTGCCTGTTATCAATGTCAATTCCATTAAAGTTGTCGTTGAAGACCATCGAACTTATGCATCAGAGGCAGCGGTAAGTTAGCTTCTTTTCCTTTTGTACTCTGGAAGGTGGTTTCTAGATTGTTGTCAGATTTGTTTTTTGTTTGCTTGATTATGATTTTGTTGCTCCTATAAGTTGCCCAAGTTTGTGGTTTTTTTGGTTGTTGAATTTTGGACGTGCTGCCCTTATTGTTCATAGTAGAGCAGTTTATACTAAAGCTACGAGGATGAATGCTTCAGCCAACTGTGAAAAATTACTAACATTATAATATGGAAAGTTTGATGTCAAGTTAAAAAAGATCTTTTATCAATTAGAATAAGGAGTTCTAGTTTGTATTTCTCATTGTGGTATATCCTGTTGACTAGGGTGATATGTTTGTGTGACAGACTACAAGTGGGGTAATTGCTTTGAAGTTTGCCCAGTTTCTTAGTTTTTATAGACTAGCATGTAAGTTGAATAGGTTCATTGATGGAAGCTTTGATTACTTTGATTGCTCTAGAGCAGGGAAAATCCCAACTTATACTTGTACACAGTGAAGCTGAGCTAGAAAATCACACCTGGGCATACTTCATTTTGATATCTTAACCTGGTCCTTGTTTCAGGATATGTATCAGAAGCTCATTTTTAGATAGGTCACCTTTAAGGCTTTTTAAATTGTAGCGTTTGAACTACAGGAACTCAATTGCTTCTCATAAGTTCAATGCCCTATTGTCGATGGAGTTTGTTGTGCAATCATAAGTATTGGGTAGTAAAGTTTTTCTCTTTTATTTACTATTTTAGCATTTGGTTGTTCATTAGACTCCTTTCTCCATCTTTTATCTTAGGTTATATCTTAATTTCATGTTGGTCTTTCCCAAAATCTGCCAACTTTCTTAAATGGACATAGTATTCTAATAAGCTTTCCTTCTCTTTAATCTTAAGATGAAATATATAATGATTCTACAACTTCCAGACTAACTCTGTAGATTTTCTTACCCAATATGTTGGTCTCCCACATGTTGCTATCTCTTTGAGCTGTTATAATGACTTGAACTGTCTCTTACTACCTGAACTGGGTTAAACTAAGAAGCTCATTTAGGAACAAAGAGAGTGCTTAGTCAGGAGCCAGCTAGCATAATTTTTTTTATGTAGATTTTATTCTATATGGGGTTGAGGGGGAGAGTTAGGTGAAGGCCAAGGGATACTTTGACACCTCCTTATACCCTACTAGAATTTTTGAAAATGTAAGGAACCTTGGCTTCAGATTGATATTGTTCATTTCTTGATTTCCAGACAAGTGTTAAAGAAGGTATCTGGCTATCTTTGGAAGAGGATATGATTCCGTCATTGTCTTCTATGAGAAATAACTGGTTGGAATCACATGGCAAGAACTTCCCTCAGAAATATAAAGATTCAAATGTCTGTGTTGCTGGAGGTATGAGTTAGTGATACTGTGATCTTACTGTTCAAAGGTTGGGGATGTTTCTTTGATTACTCTTTTCAAATTGAGGCAATACTTCCTCAATGCCAATAAATTCTGTATGGAATTCATGGTAATCAAATTTAACCACAACGTTGCTAAAATGAAGCACCTGCATTACTAGATTATTTGATTAAGATAGAAAGGCATGTCCAAATTGAGGCAATAAAACCTTGGGTAGTAAATGAGGTGCTGATCCTGTACTAAATCTGGATTGATAATTAGTTTTCTCTTTTCAATTTTGTAGCTGGAATTTTTCATGATCCATGTTCATATAGGTAATTTATCTCTATTGCTAAATCCTGTATCTGACAAAACTAAAACTGTATATTTGGCAAACTATTTTACTGTCTGCGGAACAATCTTTCAGTCAAAAAGTATTTGCTGCAGACTCTGCAGGATTGGAACTTGCAGTCTTGCATGTAACTTTTTATCTGTGTCATTGGTGCTTTTTTCAAAAGCTCATCTCCTTTGTGTTGCTTCGTTCTTTTGCAGAGGTTATTAGAGTAGATGTTGAATTGAAAAACCCACTTAAAATTCCTATTTCAATCTCTAGTGTCTCACTCATATGTGAGCATTCCTCAAGATCCGATGAAATGAATTCTGGTAAGGGACTTTAATGTTTACTTATGATTATATCTATATGTGCCGATCTTTGATGTACTTTTTTCTTCTGAAATTGTCAGCCAATAGTGTTTTTTTAAGCTTATCTGCATTTGAGCTAATTTATCATTTTCCTCCAGTTTGCGTGCATTAAATTTGAGATTGAAAAATTCTAATTGGTCCTCTTAATTATTTGTTATCCCTCTTTTTTTCCCCGGGGTAGAACATGACAATTAGCAATTTTTTGACTTTGCAGATTTGAATAGTTCAATTGATAATGACCAATTGAGAAAGCTTGCCATCAATGGGTATGTATGTGAAACTTGGATGGCCTTTCTATTTTTTGTTATATTTTGCAAGTACATATCTGCACATTTTGTTCTTGGGTAAGGCCCGTCAAAAGGTCACTAAACTATTCAAAAGTCTCATTTTACCCACTCGACTACTTTTTGTATCCAATAGCCTACCAAACTTTTCTAATGTCTAGTTTTACATGTTTTTGGTAATAAATAGTTCACTAAACTTTACAACAATATCATTTTACCCACTTAAAACTTTTTTTAACCAAATAGCCTACTAAACTCTTTAAAGTGATTCATTTTGACGATTTTGTTAAATTCTGCAGTTAAAAATGACAAAAGTTTGTCATGTTACCCCGTTTTGATTGGATAATTTTGTCATTTCACACCCAAAATTCAATTTTTCAAATCCATTAAAATATTTTATAGCTTCAAAAAAAACTCCCAAATTCCATTTTTGGGATAGCGCCAAATCTGTTTCTATGAGGATCAAGATTGTATTTTGGGATTTAGTGTTTTTCTAAGTGATAAAATAAATTAATTGATTGGACTAGATGGATTTGGGTACGACATGATAAAATTGTCCATTCAAAAAAAATCAGGCTCACATGCAAAACTTTCATCTATGTCAATGGTAGAATTTAACAGAATGGTCAAGATAAAATAGCTTAATGGGTTATTTGGTACAAAAAATAATTGAGTGAGTACAATGAAACTTTCGAAAAGTTTAATGGGCTATTTGCTACAAAAAATGGTTCAGTGTGTAAAATGAGATTTTTGAAAAGTTTAGTGGGCTATTTGGTACAAAAAATAGTTGAGTTGGTACAATGAAACTTTCGAAAAATTTGGTGACCTCTGGCGTACTTTACCCTTTGTTCTTCTCTATTTATGTCACTTTGATTATTGAGAAATTTTTTCAATCAGGAAGTGTAGTGCTGAGGCATCTTCATTGCTGTCCTCTGAGATTGATCTACGGCTAGGTGCTGGTGAAACAATAGTGGTGAGTTGGACATTTTTTAGTAGCTGCTCATAGGCAATCTTGGTCTTTTGTATCAGATTTTTGTGAAAAAAAGGAATATATTGGAAGTGCAGACCTGTAGTCAATCAGCTGTGCTTGCTTCCAATAGCTAATTGTGTCTGTACCTTCCTTAACCCATTGTTTAATCAATTAATAGATGGATTAATTTTCTGTACACTGATATTGTATACGGGATTACTGTTGGATGGTTGGCAACTAATTTGAATTTGAAATCCAAATTTTGTATGCGTCACGCATCCAACTGTGATAATGTATACACTGTCAATGTATATAAAATTAACTCTTAATAAATATGCATGTGATGGAAGTTGCTTTGCTGTTTGAAGGAGTATATGTTCTTGCTGGTTGTAGTATCTGGTTTCTCAACCATTGAGTTTCATCAATTCCCTTTTAAATTATTTCAAGACAGTAAAGACTTGGGATGTGCAAGCTGTTCTTGCAATTCAACCACAAGATGCTCTGTTTCTTAGAATATATGCTCAGTGTGCTTCACAATCTCAATGTGTAGTATTTCAGTGCTATTGGTTTTCCAATAATATCCTTTAAAAGCAGTGGTCAACAAATTCCTGTTCATAAGCCTTAATGGAGGTGCGTTCAGTGGTCAGTAATTCCTGTTCGACCTCTTATTTTTCAACCTCTCCAGGTAACTATGGGCTGTTATTTTTGAATTACATGCAACAATAGTAAAAGCAACCCGCAAAGAGTAGTTAACTCCCCATAGCAAGTAGGTGTACTTTACTGAATTAATTTTTTTATTGTGAGCTGTTTTCAAAAGGTCAAACGTGGACTTATAGATAACATGGTATGATGAAATGAAGGAGAAAATAAAAAGCTAATAAGAATGTGAGCTTGGGCCCTGAAGATAAAGTCTGAGGTTACAGTTTTAGGCTGCTGTGTGAGACAGAAAGAAATGGTGTTTGGACTCCTCCATGGTTTTGCTTGTTAGAATCCTGGAAAAAAGAGGCTCTATACCATGTAACTTTAGCTTACCACTTTCTTGTTTTGCATAGTTATAGGTCATGGGCTTGGTCATGTGCATGATGTGAAGTTATGCAGCCTATTTTGTTATGCAAGCAGCAAAATCACTAGTGGACGTGAGAATCAGGACTGCAGGGTCTTGAGGATGTAAAGCTGTACAGATGTAATTTTGGGGGGAAATCTTCATACTCCATAAAATTAAGGGGGGGCGAAATTTTAATTTTCAAAGGATATAAGCAAAAAATTTAAACTATATTATGGGGAAATTGAACACATAATATGTTTCATAGTTTCAAGGGACTGCACACCAATTTTGTCTTTTGCATACTTAACATGTAGCGGAATTAAATTTCTTTATGCCTTTTGTGTTTTGTTGTTGATTTAGTTTTCATATGTTTATTGCTCATAGTCCATCCAGAATGCAACATCGTGAAGCTTCATTTCCTCCAAACATTCTACCCAGTCTATAAGTCTTTGAAAGCTAAATTGTTTTTTTCTTTTCACTACATTTAAGAGTCTACTTTTCAAAAATTTTCAGGCGCAATTAAGTGTTATTCCCAACACTGAAGGCATTCTTGAAATAGTTGGTGTGAGGTGGAAGCTCTCCGGATCAGTTTCTGGATTTTGTAAATTTGGTTCTGATTTACTGAAAAAGAAATTTGCCAGAGGGAGGAGGAGATCTAAGAAGTCTTCGGGCAGTTATCTTAAGTTTTTAGTGATCAAGGTCTTTTCTCTTTCTTCTTGTGCAGATGTCATATTCAACCTAAGTCGAGGGACCATTATTTTATTTGTTTGGCATCACATATACTTCTTATGAAACAATCATTTGTGTTTCTGCTTTTGTTTCCTCGCTGTCCAGAGTCTTCCCAAGCTTGAAGGTGTCATTCATCACCTACCTGAAACAGTTTATGTTGGAGATATGCGACGTCTGTCTCTGGAGTTAAAGAATCCATCAAATTCTCCTTTGAAGGTAGGTTAATATAACAATCAAACAAGTACATGACTCTTTGTGCTATAGGAGAAAAGTAAGTACTCTGGTCCATCAGATAGGTATTGTTCCACTGAGGAAAAGGTAAAGACTTCACTTGTCTAGGGTTAGTCTGTCAAAGGCAAAACTATATACCGCTTGAACTAGTGGTAGTCATTGTTTGGTTGAGGCTAAAGTGAGGGCAGAGTCCATATCGATTTATGTGTCTTGGAGTAAGATGCTGATTAGGCAATCAGAATGATACTATCTAGCAGGAATTTTCTAGACTTAATGACTATGAGCCTGTAAACATTTAAACTGATACATAGATGACAAAAAAGACACTTATGTTCATGGCAATTGTTGCCCATGAATGTAAATTCACGGATAGTGTCAGTAACATGCACCATGGCTCTGGATGGAGATCCATTTTACATGCTTGCAAGTCAACTTAGTAAAATTGTGAAGGCATTTTAGGAATTAATTACTCATGTTACTGTTTTGGGATATCCTTTTTAGGTTCTTTCAAGAATTTAAAGTAATTAGTTACCCAGTTTCATCTTGTAACGTTTGTTAATGCCTTCAGAAATACCAAAATTTTAAAATCATTGGACCAACAAAAGAATGCTTTTCACACGCAGACACACAAGCAAAATATCAACGTGCTCATTGTACATCTCTAAGCCTACGTGCTTGGGCAAAGAGAACATGGAAAATGTTATGAGAGGAGTAATACTTTTTTTTTTTTGCTTTTAATTATGCATATAAATATGTAATCTTTATGTTCTCAGGCTTTTTAAGTTTCTCGTGAATGTGTATGTTGGTGTTTTGGTAATTGTTTCTGTAAAAGAAGTTAAAAATTGTAGTGGGTATGTAAGTCACAATTAGCAATGATATATGTTTAGGAATCTCCTATATGATTGAAAGGATGAACTGATACTCTTTTTCTTTTACCATCATGCAAAACCTTCGCAGAATTTGAAGATGAAAGTTAGTCAACCAAGATTTCTTAAGGTTGGAGATCAAGAGGTTATGCAGATGGAATTTCCTTCTTGCCTGGAGAAAAGGGGAAGCTCTGGAGATGGTCATGTACCTAGAAAGACTAGTAAAGCTTCGCGGAGTCTGTATTCATTTCCTGAGGTATTGTGAAGTATCACTTCTTGTTGGATTTCAACTTGATATAAGGGAATTTGTTTATTAATTTTGTGGTCTTGAATTCTGTGTTCAAGGACTTGGTAGTTTGTGGTGATGATCCATTACAGTGGCCTCTGTATCTTCGGGCTGCAGCCCCTGGAAACCTTTCATTGTACATATCAATATACTATGAGGTTGGAGATGCTTCAAGTACCATGCATTATCGCATTCTACGTATGCATTTTAATTTAGAGGTAGGGTTAATATCCTTGTCTATTTTGATTAATCAATGAAAATGCCCAGTTGGACATTAGTTTTTTTGTTACACTGAACTGCATTATGATTCAAGCTATCCTATTTTAATGCTTTTTTGTGGGCACAAATATAGATACTGCCTTCATTGGATGTATCCTTCCATATCAGCCCACGCCCATCAAGATCACAAGAGTTTCTCGTGCGGATGGATGTAATCAACAGGACGAGTTCTGAAAGTTTCCAGTTTCACCAACTTTCTTCTGTTGGAAATGAATGGGAAATTTCATTGCTTCAACCAATGGATACTGTTTTTCCTTCTGATTTTCTAGTGGCTGGTCAAGCGTTATCATGTTTTTTCAAGCTTAAGGTTGGTGACAAGTTAAATGTGCGCCCCTAGGGAGTTTCTGGGACAAATCTGTTCCAATTTATTGAGTTGAGTTTTTTTTGTCTTTTCTTTTAATTCTTCAAAAGGATTTTTAATTTCTTCTTAATGTAGCCACCCCATTTATATGTCCTTTGCTAGTCTTTTTAATGCTTTGATTTGCAAGCATGTCTTGTGCTCTGATATGCCTTATCAAATTCAAGTAATTTGTATTGTTACGAACAGGCTGCATCTTGGACACTGTCCTCATTCATTTAAATCTGGTTAACATTTGAGATTGCTTTCTTAGATTGATCTACTTTCCTCTATCATCTTATTTTTGTTTATTTTGTTATACATTGCCTCCTGTTATGTAATATTGAAGTACTTTAAGTTCAGAATTGCAGGAAGTGGGTAAATGCTGAAGATGATCCCTCTTCTCTTGTCCCTTTGGAGAAGGCAGATATTAAATTGGTCCATGGAAATGGAGAAGCGCTTTTTGATACATCAAGGTCACCTTTAGTCGATTTTCACCATTACGAGAGGGTGCACCAAGGAACTTTAGAGCAGGTTAGCATTTTCCCTGTGTAGCTTGATACTTCATGGGAGCATCTTCCTGCATTTTTACTTTGTCCTGCAAACTGTGTGGCGCCATTGCACTGTAGTGTACTGGATTTCCTCTCTTCTTCTTCTTCATCCTTTTTTTTTTTTTTAATTGGGTGAACTTTTGAGTCATACGTACTTGGGTTGCTTTTGCGTAGCCATTCTATAACTTCACTGCCAAGAGTATTTTGGTAAAATTCAGATTTGCTGGAGCTTAGTCTACTAAAGAAGCAAGCATTAAGTGCAGTAGTATTATACCACTTTACTGAAAAATTACCTTGTTTTGACTTTTTCTAAATATGGTTGTTGTCACATCTTATGATAATTTTGGAACTTTTGCTTCTCTTTTATTAAACTTGATTTTTGTGTCTTGTCTTCACTTGTAAATTGTTTGTATGATGTAATCTTAGTTTTGTGCTAGTTGAAGACAAATGCATGTCACGTGTGAGTGGCAAATCTTAGCGTGGCTTGTTGGATAAAACTTGCCTTCCCATTCCTTGTTCACTCCTTCGTGCTCTCAGGCCTTCTGGCATGAAATTTTAGCTCCCTTGGCTCTAGTTCTTCTGACAAAGCTCCTCCTTGAATCACAACCGATTCTCATCCTCATTATCCCCTAGCAAATCAATGTCATACGATCCTGCCCTCGTAGGGTGATGTGTTACCTCCAATGTAATCCTCCCTGGTTTGGTGTATAATTGCATTCTCTTATCTTTCTTCTGTTGTTACATGCTGTTGTTAGTTTTCATTGTTGCAAGTTTGAGTAGTTGACTATTGCCTAGTTTAACTGCAAATTGTTACATGAAGTAATTATAATGTGTAGCACTTTCCTCACCGACTCTTAACCTTGCTTTATCAAAATTGTTGTCATTCCAGTGTCAGGGTCCTAGCATTTCTTATCGAGTTTAGGTTAATAAATGAAATTGCAATCTACTTCCTTGCCCTCGCATTATTCTGCTGACATTTTTTCCAATGTGCAAATCAGGATCACCAAACTAAGGTCGACTTCATATTGATATCCCGTTCTCGCAGAGATGACAAATCTGCAATTGATCTTTTCTCTCATCATGCATGTGATTGCAGGCAAGTTCCTTTGATAAAGATTATGTCATTTTCAACAATTAGTTCTTAAGCATCCATGTTATTGTTAACGTATTTGCCATTGTTGATTTTACAAGCACCTATTTCATGCGATTAAAATTATTTGTATTCTCCTAATCGTCCGTGTTCACTTATACAGTGTTGCGAGCTCAAGTCCTATATGGTGGCTAATAGAAGGCCCTGGAACTGTGACACATAATTTTGCTGTTGATTTTTGCGAGATAAAATTGAAAATGATTATCCACAATTCCTCCAACGTCACTACATCTGTTCACATCAGCACATTTGACTCAGCCCCCAATATCAATTCGTCGAGTACTGGTGCTTCTGTTTCTTCTGTAAATGAAGCAGGATGGCGTGATATATCTGTGCTTAACGACATTAAATTTACATCTGATGTCGCTGGAAGTCATGCTGGGAAGTTGCTCTCACCATTACCCGTTCCTCCTTTCATTTGGTCTGGTACAAGTTCCAATCGTGTCACACTCGAGCCACTGTCTTCTGCTGAAGTGGCTCTCCACATTTGTGTCTTCTCTCCTGGGACATATGATGTATCAAACTACTCTCTGCACTGGAGTCTTTTAAGCTCTGGTGTAGAAGACAAAGGGCCTGGTTTGAGACTGTCATCCGGGACATGCCAAGGTCATCCATACCACGTAACAGTGTTGCAGCAGGATTGAGCCTTTTGCGGCGAGTTCCCACAGAAACATAGTATGAGAGTTTCTGCAGAGTTCCATACCTTTGTAAAATATAAATTCATTGCGTTGTGTAACTACATAGGGGTACAACAGAGACGAAAACAATTTGCCCACCGAGCAAACGGTAGGCGGTGGAATCTTCATAATCTGTGAATTGTGTTTCAGAGCGGGAATTTCATTTTGTTAGTTATAGGTAACCAACCACACGACAATAATTCCCTGTATTTATATGAAATTCTTTTACAGGAAATTGATGTTATTTTTCCTCCCTTTTTTGGCCTTTTTGGTGACAGGTAAACATTTTATTTTATTGTTTTTGTACAAAAAGGCAAACACATTTTCAAAACTAAGGAAAATTTGGTTCTGATTTGAAGGACTAATTTTGTTGATAGCAGTCAATTAAATTTAAATCCGGTAGCAGATGGTAGTACGTAGGTAAGATAATTGTTGAACAGAAACAAAGCGCGCGATTCGATGTTATGGTTAGAGCTGATACAGCATGCTACGTAGACGATGCAATGGTCCTGTGGCGGATGCCTCTGCAGAAAGTTTAGAGAAAATGAAGTCCTGAATTCAGAGTGAGTAAGGCTGATGGTCACCACCAAGCCTTTAAGGCTTTGGTGGGGGTGGGAGACCAAGTTGCCACAGTTGTGGTTTTTCAAAATTCAGATGGATGCGCGGTGCACCCGTTTGATTCGGTGGTGGTTCTGTCTCCATCAATCCCTCATAGGTCCAATTGGATTTCCCCGTAGTTAAAGTAGAATAGAGTAGGATTAGGATTAGGAGTAGAATTGACGATTGACAAAAAAAAAATTCAGAGTGAGTATAAAAGTATCAAAAACAATTACGAGTCCAGGAAAACAGCACCAAAGACAAAACTACATCCACCTCCCTCTAATTACAACCCGCGTCAGCGGGTATGGTAAGACTTCACCTAATTTAGACTCTTTCAAAAGAATTAAACATATCCAAGAGGACCGAGACGCCCCAGAAAGAAGGAAAAAAAAACACTAACATAAAAGAACGTTGAATCTGAAATAAACAAGAAGCAAATGGATCGGTAACATATAAATAATGGCTCTGACCATATAAATAATGGCAAGGAGGATTAAAAAAACAAGAACTTTTTGACTGCTTCTTCTCGTTACTTCCATGGCCGGATGGAAAGCACAACGATGAGGATGATGATGAGCAGAAGGACGATCCCAATACAAGTCCACTTTCTGGTATTCTTCTGATGCTTCCTAGCCACCTGCAGCTGCTGTGTTCCGCCTCTAACAAAAGAACTGGCCCTTTGAACCTGACTCTCAATATCATCAAGTTGCTCCCCCTGAGTCTCCACCAAAACAGCCATGTCCAGAAACACCTGATGCAACTCTTTCAAATTCTTCTCAATCTCCTTCACTGCATCGTGCCTCTCCTGAATTTCCATGATGGTGTCCATCACCTGACCCCTCCCCTGCTGCTGTATTGCCTTCTGCAAGAATGTCTCACTCTGCCCCGTTGAGATTAACGAATCCAAAACAGCTTCATCAGGGTTCTCCCCAGTCACCGTGTAATACCTCCTCTGGACAGTTTCCCTGTACTCCCCGGCCATCTTCTGCCGCAAGTCGCTGAACTGGTTCATTTGATCCTGAAGCTTTTTCCTCAGGCCGTTGACAACTGAGGTCCTCGTGCGATCAGAGGAGCTCCCGGGGCCGCAGCCCGGGATGCTACGGTTGGCGGCGTTGGACCTGTCCAAGGCCTCCAACCGTACCTTGATGAACTTGGCCTTCTTTAAGGATAAAGAAACGTCGCTGTCCATCTTGGTTCGGAGTTCCTTAACGGCTTTGGCGTTGTGGAGGGTCTTGCTCTGTTCGTTGGAGCTGTGAAGCTGGCTGTAGAGGGTCTCCAGATCCCTCAACTCATCCTTGATTGCCTCGACATCTTCGAAAAACTTGTCCAGGTTGACTCCGCCCGTGTTGTTGGTCATTTCGATGCTGTGGGAATCCGGGGACTGATCCTGGCTGCGAAACCGCGAGAATGATCCGGAGAAAAGATCGTTCATATTGGCTAACTTTTCTTTTAGTAGTCTAACCTTTTAATGATGAAGTAATGGGTGAATCCGGTGGCGACTTGACAGGGGTAGGTGAGCGAGCGTATGGGGCCCTGGCCCTGATCTTTATGTAGTGGTGCCGGACAAGCAGATAAAAATGGATGATACTTTAAAGCAAGGGAAAAAGTTTATGGGAACTTATGATTATCTTTTGGATGGAAAACGTTGGAACTGAAAATCGAAGGAAAAAAGAGGAGAGGAAGGAGAGTTTTTGAGAAGGGAGATAGCGGGGAGCTTTATTCTTGAAAGGCTGCCCGGCTGCTGTCTGCACCGGAGAATGGTAATAAGAAAAGAAGAGACTTGTCAAATTGGGCCACTTTTGTTTCGCGTTGAACTACTCTAGTCCATGGGGAAAGAAGAGAGGGAAAAGTCAACTGATGCTTATGTTTTGGGATTTTTTTTTTCCTTCTTCTTCTTTGGAAGACGGCTGATAGGGAATGGCGAAATAGAATGGAAAGTGGGAAGGGATAATTGGAGAAATGGTCACACAAATATTTTTTTTTTTTTGTACGTACAACTTCAAACTAGTCCTTAATGCCACCCTTTTTTATTTTTTGATTGGAAAAAAAAAAAAGTCCTTAATGCCATCTTAAAAAATAAGAATTGGTCAAAGCTTTTAGTAGTCACCAGGAAAGGCAGAATTGAGGGAGATTTAGGCACTACCAGACTACCGGTACCAGACACGGATTTTACAAAATCCGTGTAAAACGTTTATTCTAGAACTGGAAGTAGTTCGGAACGCGCTGTGCCTCTCTAAAAAGTGATTTACTTCTTAATGGCTAAGCATAATTAGTAGTTAAGCTTCAAAGGGCGAAACTTCAAAGAAAGAACTGATCCTGATGTCATGGAATTGTACAGTTTTAGACAAACACCAAAAAAAATTTACTTGTCAAACCGGCGATGGATACCGACTGTATATACCTGATCAAGAGGCCTGGTTGTGGATATAATCATTTTGCCCAGTTAATAAAGCAGATGAAAACAGGTCAAGATTTCAAAAGGTGGATGTTGTTATCCTGTGGTTCGATTCTTGGGTAGAACAGAAAAGTGGATATTCGTCATGTAACGCGCAAAATTAAGCCACAAGGTCATAGCAAAAAGATATGTGACAGGAGCTTCCCATTAGTAAAATATAACTTCACCAATTGTTTACACAGAAGTATAGGTTCAACTTTACGGCTGATTACCTTACTCCAAACTAATCGGTTGGGACAATCACGGGATCATGTTTTGCTGTTGGGTAGTTATGTTCCGGGATTGTGTTTACATGTGTGCCGTTGCTTTTGAATGGGGTAAAACGGAAGGTTAAATTTTGTGGTTTGAGAATTTATGTTCGGGTATCATCCTCTTATGGAGGAAAAGTAGTATACAGATATCCGAAGGAACCATTTTGACATACTATACAAGATCAAGAAGCAGCTGTATCCATGTTTTCCAAAATCAACTTGAAATTACCATGATGATACACAAAAGAAAGACAAAATTTAAAAATTTTTCCGTTCAAAATCATGAGAATCATAGTAAACATCATGTTAAAAGAGATGATTAATCTGTATTGCTGAATCGTTTAATCATTAGTGTAGATTTGTTGCTTATTTGTATTACCAAGTTTATTAAATGTGAATTTTTTGAGTGATTAAATGTGTGTATTAATTATTTCTAACTTTTAATTGTTTTCATTCTTTTACTAATACGACTTATATACATGCATAGGAGGTATTTATAGAATAAAAGTTTTATCCCTCTCCTTAAGCTACTTTTTTAATACTACTTTTTTAAATTGTACTAACTTTGTAATCAAAATCATAACCTCAATGGAGGTTTCTGTAATTTTACAAATTTCAAAGAGGCTAGTGAAATTGTCAGAAATTAACCTCTGAAACTTGAGATTTTTAACAATTTCATTCAGATCACTCGAAATTTTCAAAATTACACATACCTTCCTTATCATTTGAAATGACAATATTGCCCTTAAATATTTTAATGAAATTCCCTTGTGTTTGCATGCTTATATTTAGAATGACTTTTAAAATTATTTTTTCATTCTTTTTCCTTCTTATTCCTTTTTTTTTATTTTTTGCCAATAAAACTATAAAACTGCCACAATGACCTCTAGTTTCTATTGTAACCAAATATTAAATTATTATTTTTTTATGAGTTAACTTTATATGCAATCCAATATTTTTTCTAATCTTTGTTTTCTATTTTTTATTAAAATTAAAAATGATAAAAAAAGCTCCAAAATTACTACTAAATTATGATAATCCTATTATTCAAAAAATTCATAAATTCTAAATGAATTATTTCAACATTTTCTTTTATATTTTATAAATCTAAATCAATAATAAAATACCATCAAAAGTATCCTATCATAGTGATAAAATTATTATTATAGTTGTTTATCAAATAATAGGTATGGACATAAAAAATTTGGCATATTTTCTTTATAATTATACAAGATAATCTTATAATTGTATAGGGAAGTAAATTAAAACTCATTACAAAAAGACATTTTTGGGTATTCATTTAAAAATTTGACTAAGTCAATATTATTTTAAGATTTTCTTACAAAAACTATCAAATCAAGCAAGGTAAATATAATTATTCAAACCTCAAGAGAGTTCAGTAAAATTATCAAAAATCTCATGGGAGATTTCTGAAATTAACCCTAAATACATTTTGCCTGCTACATACTTGAGACCTCATAGCCATAGTCGTTTGACTAGTATTCGTATCAATTAAATTGGATATTTGGAGATTACGTATAAATACATTTCTCTATTACATACTTGAAACCTCATAGTCATTTGATTAATATTCCTGTTAGTTAAGATGGGTTTTGGATATGATGCATAAATATAGACTTTTTATCCTAGCATACATTCCTCTTTCTCTTTCTCTCACACACAACAATACTATCCCATATACACAAGTAAAGACATATTTAAAAAAAATATTATTATTTTGATTGATATTTAAATTTGGTAGTTAAATTTAATTAGTTATCAAAAAGATATTAATTATTACTTCACCGGCTCAATATTTTCCACACTCAAATTTCAAAATTTCAAAATTTAGACTTGGGACTTTTAGTTTTATCAAGCAGGTGCTAAAGTTTGGAGATTCATTTGGCAGTTGGCCCATCATCCAAAAATGCTCATTGTGACGCCTCACA